AGAATCTAAACAAACTTATTTATTAAAGAAAGTGGTACTATGAGAGCTGTGCCTTAGCATATAGCAATTATTGATGAACGGTTTACCCAAATTGTTTACCCACTGTTTATCGAGAGCATAATTTAAATAAAAAGCAGTATCATGTGTTCAAATGTGATAAAAGGGGATCAAGGTCAACATTGTCGAAAACTTAAATAATCAAAAAATTAAAATAATCAAAAACAACTTGCCTTAACAAATAAAAAACAAATGAGTACAATTTTAACTTGTTACAATGCTTTTTAAAATTTTTTACCATATCAAGTCATTTACAAAGATCAAAATTTGATGAAAGCTTGGGTTCAAGGTAGGTTGGGTTCAAGGTTTTGATGTTTATTATTCTACCAGCAAATCAGGTTGGATGGAAAGCAAAAACTTCATAGAATGGTTTTGTTATTTCTTTTTTAGGTCATGAAAACAAACTTCAAAGATATAAATTTCTACTTTTAGATGGCCATGAATCTTAAATCAATTTTAAGTTAAAAAGATTATCTCAATCAAAAAACATAATTTTATTCAGATTGCCAACTCACACAAGTCATTTTTGCAACAAATAGATGTTGCAGTTTTTAGGAGTTTTTCAGCTTACACCAGAATGGAAGCGAATTGTAGAAGTTTACTTGATTAGAAATTCTTATTATAGTTTGAGTAACCAACAGTTTCTTGAGATGTTAAAAGACTTTATTGCAAAGAAAGGTTTAAAAGTGGAAAGTGCACATAGTGGTTTCAAACAAAAATATTACTCAAAGAACTGGATAGTATTAATAATGCCGTTAAACAAGCATCTTTTGATATTAATAAACCAGTGCTCAGTGTTGTGAGCATTGACTTATTTTAAAAATATTTTATTAAACAGTGTTGTAAGCACTGATTTATTAAAAAGTGAGATTTTTAACTGATAACAAAAAAATAATGGAAGACAGCATCTAATAAATAGATAATGCCCACACTGTACTAACACTTGTTATACTCTTACATTAAAGTATAAAAGTAATTTAAAAAATCTTTCTATTTAACTCTAAGCTAGAGGTCTGCTCCAGCACAAACTCTAAGCTAGAGATCTGCTCCAGCGCTAACTCTAAGCTAGAGGTCTGCTCCAGCACAGATTTAACTTAATTCTATTTAACTCTAAGCTAGAGGTCTGCACCAATTATAAATTATTTACTATTTTAAACTGAATGATATTTTTTGAGATTTCATATGTACGTTGGGAATTAAGAACGCAATATTTTCATTATTAGTATACTTGTTGCCAGATATGGTTTAATTCAGTTTAAGTTCCGGTTTATTTATTTAAAAAATAATAATTTAAAATTCAGAAAATAAAACGGACTTAAAGTGCAATTTCATTCAGAATTGGGGAAATTTATGGTATATTAAATTAGTAAATATTGTTTTGTTTGATGTTTATCAACTTCAAGTATAAAATTTTTTTTTACTGTTTTTAAAAGTTTGAGATTAACTATTAAATTTTTCTTTAAGTGATGATTGCATGAGAAAAGAGCGCAAATGCCTCAGCTACTAAACTTTCAAAATGACTGTATAGAAACATAAAAAACTACCTAATTTGTAAAGAAATTGTAGATAATTATGATATACCTATTAGAATCAGAAAACTTTTTGAAAATTTAGCATTATTTAGAGAAATTAACAGTTTTCAAACTTAACTCAAAGGACTTGGTGTTGTTTTAAATCAAGTATTTAATGTTTTTATAAGAAAATAAGAAAAAATAGGTCTTTATTAACCCTAACTAAGTCATTACTACACTTCTATTAGGATCTGTAATAATGCTTATTCATTATCTTGCATGCATGGCCAATTCTAATTTTTTTGCTAAAAATAAGTTTTAAACAGAAAGTTAAAAAAAATTTTCACAGCTTTGAAGCATGAGGTTTAATGCTATGTATGTTGTTATATGTTATCGGAATTTCATTTTTTTTATAGGTAAAAACCTGACAATTGAAAATGGAGATAAAGCAAAAGAATGGCTTCAAAATCGTTATTCTGATTTTGCACCTTGGTTGATTTTGTTTAAACTAAAGGATTACAAATGTGGTGTTGCAAGGATGTTGCTATCAAACTACAGTTTCCACGGTTTTTAATACCGGTATTCAACTAAATTTTTTCAATACAGAAATTGTTTCCCAATACCGGGATCTGGTCTGACAACATAGGATTTGGAGTCCATACCGAACAATTAAATATATATTTAATTGTGCGGTTTCTAAAATTTTAATAATTTGAACTTTTAAGTTCAAATTATTAAAATTTTAAAAATAAAAATAATTATATTAAATTATATTAAAATAAAGATTAAAATTTCACTAATGCACTTTTTGTATTTGAATTTTGTAAATGAATGACAAAAGTAGAAATTATTTTGTTATGCTGTTTGCAAACTACAAATTTGTTAAATTTTTTTATTAATTAGTTACTTTAGGTATTTTAATTATTGCAACACTACAATTCCTCTTAATAAATTTGTATTATTGTATAATTGTATAACAACATTACAATTCATTTAGACATTATTTCTGCATGAAGAAGCTCATGAAGGAAGGTATATAATAGCTGTAGCGTTAACTTTAGTTTTTATAGTATTTTTAAAATAAAAAAAACAATAAATTGTTTAGCATTATGAAAACTATAAATTTAATTATAATATTTAATATCTTCTTATATTAATAAATAATATACATTACATTATTTATAAGTAGGGTAACTTTGTTTGCGTTATATTTATTTTATTTTACTTTATATATATAACCAATGAAAGACAAGTACAAAAATAAAACATGCCAAAACAAAGCTCTTCTGTCTGGAAGTATTTCACAAAATCATACAACTCAGCTTGTCAAGCAAAATGTACCCTGTGCAATTCTTTCATAAAATGCAAAGGTTTGAGTACATCTGGTCTGATTACCCTATAATGATTTTCAGCTACTTTTAGCGACATTCACCGCGGTGTTTCTGATTATGATGATTTTCAGCGACATTTCATGACATTCAGCGAAATGCAGCGACTTTTTTAATGTTATCATACAAAAAACTGCTCATGGAAGCAACATCAGAATATTTTGAGATGACATCAAGTCTAATTAATTAAATTTTTTAAATTGTCAAGCGTTTGCAGCTTCATATTGCAAAAGCATGTTTTTAAACAAGAAAATAAAACTTGACATTAAAACTCAGTGGAACTCTTTGGTTCCCATGATTAAAAGGTTGGTAAAATTGAAACCATGCATTAAAAAAGAAGTTTTGGACATTAGAACATTTAGTTTTTATGAGGAAGTCAATTTTAAAGTTTTAGAAGATATTTTAAAGGGTTAAAACCTGTTGAATTGGCTGTTAAGGAGCTAAGTAAGGATAATTCAACTACTCTGACCAGTGAAGGTGTTCACATTTTTTTGTTCAAAAATCTTTCTGAACAAACATCGAACTTAAGTGTAGTGATGCTAGATTCCCTCAAAAAGCGATAGAATGAGCCGTGCAACAAAAACTTAGTGTCACTGATAAGATATTTGCAAAATCCCAATTCAAATATGTCATAAAAAAATGATAGCTTCAAGTATTTATCTAAGTCAGCAATTATTCAATATGTAAAAAGTAAAGTTGAACAAAATTTTACCAAAGTATTGGATAGTGTCAAGCTCGAATCATTGGATGATGAAGTTGCTGAAGAAGCCAATAATAACCTTAAGACACAGTTACAACAATCCCTAACAAAGATGGTTTCTTTCCAACCCAAGATTAGTTATTCTGATGCATTTTTAGAGATATTGAGGGTGTTTAAGTTGTTTGAAGCGAGTGGAGTTCGAACATCAAATTTAAATAAGATTGATGTTGCTCTCAAAACAATTTAACCTACGTCAACATCCATCGAAAGAACTTTTTCGGTTGCTGGTAACTTTTCAACTAAGCTTCGAAGCCAAATGAACTTTGATATATTAAATGCATTAATATTTTTAAAAAATTGTTTTTTGGAACGTTAAATTATTGAGTTATTACTGCTTGAAAAAATATTTTTATTTTTTTAAATAATACATTTAATTTTTAGATTTTAAAAAATGAAAATAGAAAAAGAAAATGCTGTAGTTTTCTAAGGATTTGGCTAAATTTTAAAAATGTTTTTTATAAATATCATGCAACATCGGTTTATACCAGTATTGAACTATTTTGAATACCGAAAACCGGTATTATAATTTTCTGGTATTTTGGAAGCTCAACTATCAAACAGTATCAACAATATTGTGCATTAATATAAAAAAGCTCATGGATAAAATAAAATTGATTATGTTTTAGTAATAGCTTTTTAAGTTTTACACTATAATGTTTTGTATCATAAGATCAAAAAAACAATTGTCAGTAACGGTTGTTTTTTAAACAAATTACTGTTTATTAAAAAAGATTTAATTTAAGATTTAAATAAGCATCTTTCACTTTAATTCGAGTATTCAATTAAGGTAAAAGCACAACCATAAAAATAAAATTAAGTTTTTTTGTTTTTTAAAGTTTTTGATTAAAAATATCAAATTTAATTAGTTTTTTGAAAACTATTTTTAAAGTTTTTTTGCTCTTTGTTGTTGTTGCTTTTTTTTACAATTTTTTAAACATGGTTTTAAATGAAATTTTTAAACAGGTCATTTGGACTCAAGTTTATTAAAAAATTATTACGCCAAAACATATTAATAAAATCTTCAATTGCGCACTTATCTTAAAGACACCCACAAAAACACAAAAATGATTAAACATTTTTTTTTCCTTTTTTTTTTTATTAATGCATATTTGCATAACACTTATTAAAGCGATATTTTATTTTAGATGCGACAGATATTTTTTATTTTTTATGTAAGTAAAATACGACCTAAAAAACTTTAAATTTTGCTGTTTAAAAAAAATAATAACTGTATTTGCAAATAATTGTATTTTGGCCTGTATATAAATACATAGTAGATAATACCTTTTTCTTGATCTCTTGAAAGATAGCTGTTAAACGCTCTTTTGCTGAAAGAATAGGATTACTAGCTTGCAGGCTGCGAGCATAATAGTATACTGCATCAAGCTTTCTCTTTGCAACTACAGCAACCACAGCAAGTTGGTTGTATGACTTCCCATTTTTAGGAACAAGTATTTGTGCATCTTTGTATCGAAGTATAGCTTGTTCATAACTGCTTTCTTGCTGAAGCTGAGCTATGTACCGTTCAAGATCGCCAATAAAAATAAGCAGAAGATGACAGCTACGAAGTGCCAACTTGACCTTTAATAAGATTTAAGAATTTTTGAAAAAGCATACCAAAAAAAAAATATTTAATGCTTTTTTTATTAATTTATATAATTCACAAAATAAAGTATGATTTAATTATCACCGATCACCAGATTTAAATTTAATCTAATTTATATAAGCTCGAATAGAAAAAAAAAACAAATTTATATAGTTTAAAAAAATCCACAATTAGATATAGAATAGGCATCATTGTTATTTAACTAAAATGTGCTACCAATAAAAAATTAACAAGAGTTTCTATTGAAATAATAAAAAATTAACTTTATAAGCTCCTTTAAAATTATTAGATTTATGTTCATTAAAAAATGAAAAAGAATCTTATGGTAAGGTAGGTAATGTTAATGCTTGTTAATACTAAGTTAATTTAAAAATATAAAAGCTTATAAATGTATAAATACCTAAACTTAGAAATGCAATCAAATGTCTTATACATTTCACTGCAGCTGTTTTTCAAAATAACCTTAAGATAAAAAAAAATCAATTTTGACTTTTTTACAAAATAAGCTAGTTTAGATGTATACAAACATTATTGAAAAAAATATTTTTTTCAATAATGTTTGTATACATTATGTATAAAAAAATGCTTTACAAAGAATTTCTTTTAAAGTTTGGATACCCGGCACCGTTTCTATTTTAAAAACCTGAATTGTTTTCATGAAATAATGCTGATTAAAATGCTGAATATGTGCTGATTAAGTTTGCCTAAGTATATCAAGTTTCTTTTTAATAAACAACTATATTTACATTCGAGGTCACAAATTTAAACTACGCAAATTAAAGTGTAAACTTGATGTACATAAATTATCTTTATCCTTTAGGGTTGTTAATATTTGGAATAACTTGCTGTCTGACAACGCTAATGCCAAAAACATCAAGAGCTTTAAAACTAAAATTTACTCTATCGACTTCAAAAAATGCTGTTCTGGCTTGTTATATAATTGTGGTTTTATATATAATATATATTTTTTGGTAATTTATGGCTGAATAATATGCTAATATGCACTAAATTTAAAATTGTGTTATGGAAAATAATAGATTAGGAGAGACAAAAAATTGCAAAAAAATAAAAATAAAATATTAGACCTTCTCAGCCGTAGTAATATTGACTCAACCATAGTAATTATTGACTCTATAACACTCTTAGACTTATATCAAGAAGTTTATTGGTTGAAGTTTAAACTAAAAGCAATACTGTTAATAATATCTTGACACAATTTAAAGTACCACTTAAAAAAATAGTTACAGTACCTAAGGTTAGCGCTTATTAAATTTTTCTTTTAAGATACCTGGCTCTGGGTACAGCAACAAAATAGCCGATTTGGGGTACCTAAGAAAACAGCAGAATTACTGCGTTCCTGGGTCCAAATCGGGTACACGGCACTAGCTTTTAGGTATTTCACTAGCTTTTAGGTATTTCAAATTCTAATAGAGTGGTAACTGCATTTTTATTTATAATATTTTTATTCAGCAATTTTTAAAAAATTATTTTAAAAGAAGTGATAAATTATTTCAATAGAAGTGATAAATTAATTCAATAAAAGTGATGAATTATTTCAATAGAAGTGATAAATTAATTCAATAAAAGTGATGAATTATTTCAATAGAAGTGATTAATAAATTAATTCAAAAGAAGTGAAGAATAAATTGTTCAAAAGTAGTGAAAAACAAATTATCTTCATTTCAAAGTAAAAAGATCTTAAAGCAAAAACAACAAGATTTTTCTGTGTTTTTTTCATCACAAAATATTCATAAAAAAACTAAAAATATATGAATACTTGTTTCTTGCATGTAAGCATAAGAACAGGATCCTTTAAGTAGTCTTGTAAACTAAAACCATGATGCTCCTCTAAATTCACTATAATCATATCTAAGAATTGAATTCCACTTTGAAGAAATTGCCAGTAAAGCTTCCCAATATCTTGCAAAACCTTTTTGGGAATATTTTCAGATTCAAGAAAGTTTCTGCAAACAAGATAAAGAATTTAAAATTTCTAAAACTATACATTTAAAAATATTTACAACACTTCAGCACAGCAAAGTAATACTAGATTTTTAAAAAGTTACTTTTACCTAAATTGTGTTATTATGTTATGAAACGCTGATTTCCATAATACACTTTCATAGTCAAACTTAAATGCAAACTCTTGATGTAGAATAATTAGGTCCACATAATTTTGTTGGATTGCTTCAGCTGTGCTGATCATTAATTTAACAGACTCCATTGACTGAAATCCTTTCTCTAAAAGTTTTGACAGTTGAAATTGCTTCTCTTTGATTTCTTTTATATGTAAATTGAGCTGCCTGTTTTTTTTCACAAACTTTTTCTCTGTTTCTTTTTTTTCAGTAGACTTATCTTCTGAAATAATTTTTTTCTCGAGAAACATTTTGTCATCAATATGTGCATTATCTAAAAAAATAACATTGTGTAACTACAACTTGCATTACAAGAATTTCGTTATTGAGACAAAAAATTGATTTTATTTTTTGACAACTTGACCACGATTGCTTATATGTTTTGATGATTTAAACCTTTCAGAAATGCACTGAATGTAGAAAAGCTAAGCATAACTAGGAAATAAGATTAAAAAAAAAAACTAACGAAAAATAATTATTTACGAAAAAGAAATTATATAAGCACTAAAATAAAATTAAAAAATAAAAACTTAAACTTGAAGCGAAACATTTTAATTTATTTTTAATTACGTTAGAAATAAATCTTTTTAAACATTTTATTAAATTACTAATGTTTGTTTAATAAGTGAGGGAAAACGAAGAATAATGAATGAAACGGTTGCTGACCCATGCCAAACCCTCAGTCGATGTAGCAGCACACCACTGCGAGTCAGGCTATTTGTCAGTCGATGTATGTACTGAAGCCCCCGCAGCAGGCTATTTCAGTATGATGTCATCATGCTCACCTAACTCAGCAGTATAAGATATATATATATATATATATATATATATATATATATATATATATATATATATATATATATATATATATATATATATATATATATATATATATATATATACCTGAAAGTGTTTGAGTTTGGCAATTTTTTGCTGACCTCTTTTCTAGGTTTTATGGTTAGACCTTTGTATCAAATAGGTTTTGCCGACCTGATGCCAAGCTCAAAAAGATTGAGGTTGGCAAATTATTGCCGACCTCATTTTTCCTAACTGCAAGGGTTGTGTGTGTATATATATAGGATCATTGGAGGTTAAATTAGCTCGGTATACAAAGTCATTTGTTAGGCATTTGTTTGCTAAAGGGCAGGTTATTTTATCAAGTCACTTGCAATTGTTTTTAGTGGTAATTTTGTTGTTGTTTAAAATATGCCGATTGTGTGCATTTAAAATAGATTTCATATTTGGCATGCAGCTGTAACTTACTTATATTGTGTTTCTATTGAAAATCTTATGGAGCTTGTGATTAATAGGGAAGTGTTTATCAATAAGGGTTAAAAAAACTTTTTCATATGTTTGTGCTAACGTTTTTGCAGAAAAGAGGGTTAAACTAAATGATGTTGCCTTTACGGTACTTAGCATGAGTTGAATTTAAGTTAGGATGATAAGAAAGCTTATGAACGAAACCTGATTTTAATAATGCTTTGTTATACATGTCAGTAGAATTTTGAAAAATTTCTTCGCTTGACGAATTTGCAGATCTTAATTCTATAGAACGCGGAAGTTGCTTTAAAATACTGGGTGGATGGTTTGAATCAACATGAACATAGTTTAAAGAGTTTTCAGGTTTGGAATAAAATAGTTTCTATGTTATTTTTTGTTTTATTTTGACGTCAGAAACCATTTTATTGTTGTTTTTGTATTTTGTATTTTTAACGGTTTTTCTTGATTAAAAAATATATATATGGCTGATGATTGTCAAAATGGCATGAAACTTATAGTTCCATCATATAGTTGTATTTTTTCGTTTAGTTAAATTATATATATATATATATATATATATATATATATATATATATATATATATATATATATATATATATATATATATATATATATATATATATATATATATATATATATATATATATATATATATATATATATATATGTATATATATATATATATATACATATATATATATATATATAAATATATATATATAATATATATATATATATATATATATATATATATATATATATATATATATATATAAAAACGAAAAAAGAAAAAACTTTTATTATGGAACTTTAAGTTTCATGCCTAACGGCAATCATCAGCCATATATTACAAAATTTAAAATAGACGTTAAAATTACAATTAAAATTACGGTGGCGTGAGTTCTAATGACTCCATAGAAACAAAACTTTAAGTTTTAAGAGTATCACGTGGCGTAAAAGTGACGTAAACCAATCAGGATCAATCTGCGGTATCATAGGAGGAAATAAGAAATTTATTTTTGTGCCTACACTTCGAGATTATTTCACTCATTGTGTTAAGTAGGTTTTTACCTTTATACATTAGAATTTGAAACTTCTCGTTCAAACAAAGGTTACACACTCTTGATGTTGGGTTGTATGGTTTGCAATGTTTAACAATTTTCCATCTGACAAAAGGTGTAAAGTTTTTTTCTTTTAATTTCCATATTTCTTTAGATAACTCTGTATCATTTTTATATCTAATTGAATAAAAAGATTTGAGGTGGTTTGCGTATCGAACTTTAAAAGATGTCTCGCTGAGTCCAAAATACACTTTTTCTTTGTACTCCGGATTGTTTGAACAAACGGTGGCTTGATAAACAATGTTGTTAGAAAGACAATTGTTGTTCATCGGACATTTGGATTTATCAATGCAGTTGCATGTCTTTTCATTAACTTTTGCTTCCTCATGTAACGTGTTTTTATTGTGAGAGTTGATAATGGATTTTATGTTTGCCATACAGGAATAACTTATTTTGATTGTGTTTCTATTAAATATTTTACGGAGTCTGTGGTTAACTGGAAAGTGGTGGTCGATGAGGTTTAAAAAACATTTACCTATTTTTGTTACAACATTTGTACTGAAAGGAGGATTATACCAAATTATTTTACGTTTATGGTTGTTGTTTGAAGATTTTATACTTGGATGGTATGCAAGTTCGCAAGTGTGTCCAGATTTTTTCAGGGCTTCTTGATAAGGAGGAATACTTTCTTTAAAAATCGATTCACTTGACGATGCTGCTGATAATTTTAACTCAATGGTTTTAGGAACACTTTTTATTATACTCGGTGGGTGGTTAGAACTTGTATGTATGTAATTAAGTATATTATCTGCTTTGCGGTAGGGTTTAAATGAACCATCTTTAAGGTTTAGCGTTAAATCCAAATAATTAACTATTTTCAAATTACTTTTAATGGATATTAAAAGATTGTTATTTTTAAAGATTTGTACAAAATGTTTCTTTATCTTTTCCATTTCTTGACCACTTTTGTTTCTAAATATAGCTAATCTGTCATCTCGATATATACCGAAATTATTTTTATCATAAAACTGCGAGATTTGATGTAAAATAAAAATACCAACTAATTCGCAAATCTCCGCGCCATCAAAGGCCCCCATAGTGACATCAAATAATCCTCCCTTTTTCTTAATCCAAGCAGTTCCATTGCTAAATAATAACGATTTTCTTGCATGGTATATAAAACTCTTTTGCTCACTATTTATTATTAGATGTTGCTCTGCAAAGGATAACGCATTTTTCAGCAGGTTTTCATTAATCGATGGATAAAAATCATTAATATCAAAGACTAAAAACTTACAGAATTGTTTTTCTTTTATGGTTTGAAACCAGTGTATAACATTTTGAGTGTTTTGCCACTGGTTCAAAAATTGTTTCTTTCTCAGCTCGGAATTAATGTTGGATAAAATAGATTTTGAAATTCTTCCAATCTCATTTTTTGCAGGATTAATAAGTCTAACAGTTGGTTTATCTAGGAAGTTTTCTTTGTGGTCTTTTAGAGTTATGAAACAATTTTCAGTACCGTTAATTCCAATTTTATTGTATACATCATGGTTAATTAAAATTTGTTTACCTTGTATGTTTATTTGATCTTTGAGTTTAGGGTCAGCCTTTTTATACGTAGAAGTAATTGCATTATTAAGGAGATGGATGTACTGATCTTTAGATAATTTGTACATGTTTGATGTTTTGTCGGCTAGAGTTAAAGTTTTTTTGGAGGTTCGTATAAATTTTATATCGTTTGCTAATTTTTTTTGAAAAACATTGTTGATTTTTCGAAATTTGATGGTTTTAACAAGATTTATTAAACTATTTTCGAAAGAACACATTTCTTTAATTTGCGGAGGACATTTAGAAGAGTTAATACCATAGTTTACATAATCTTCAGAATTCTTTTCATCCATCTGCTTGTTAATGAAAAAAAGCGCTTTCCACCTCATTCTTTTTATAAGCGTTTCGGTCTTTGCCATTAATTGTAAAATAAATTCTTTCTCTGATGGTATTGAGATATTTTTAATTGAGTATTGAAAGTTTAATTTCTCCATCTTGTGGACGAATATAATATACACATATATATATATATATATATATATATATATATATATATATATATATATATATATATATATATATATGAATATATATATATATATATATATGTGTATATATATATATATATATATATATATATATATATATCATACATATTTATATAAACAGGCTTGGACAGGAATGGTGTCTGATCGAGTGCTATTGCTGACCACGAAAATGATTTTATTTCTTGAAAACTTGATCACAATTGTTTATATGTTTTGATGATTTGAACATTTCAGAAATGCGCTGAATGTAGAAACGCTAAGCTAAACTTAAACTAGGAAAAAAGTTGAAAAAAAACAACGAAAAAAAAATTCCTCACAAAAAAATTCTTTACGAAAAAAAAATATATAAGCACTTTAATAAAAATAAAAAATAAAAACTTTAACACGAAGCGAAATTTTTTGTTTCGTTATTAATTATGTTTAAAATAAATCTTTTTAAACGTGTTATTAAGTTACGCAAAATGCTTTTAAATTAAGTAACAAATTACTACAAATGATTGTTTAATAAATGAACAAATTTTGTCAAATTTATTAAAAAGTTTGTATATAATATTTTTAAATTGTATAAACATTTATTCTTTCAAAAAAGTTACAAAAAAAATTGTTTAAAAAAATGTAGTATTTTTAAAATAGTAATTTTTAATAATTTCATGCTTTAATTAATGTCTAGTTAAAAAAAAGGTTTTTAACTTTTTTATTCATAAAAATAAGAAAAAAATAAACAAAATGTGCCAGCGATTTAAATAAAATAAACTGCCAACAAGAAATTTAATTTAATTTTAATTTGAGTGTTACAACTTTATTAATGAGCGCATCTTGTAACGAATTATAAAATTATTTTAAAGTTTATAATTCGTTACGGATTTGAATATAAAGATTTGAACTCATTCATTTCTAAGGTAATTGAAAAAAAAGAAAATTTTTTAATTAATAAAATGTTTGTTTAAAAGATTTTTAAAAAGTTTAATTATCGTATAAATATTACAAAATGATTCAAAACTTTTCCATTAATCAACAAAATACATGCTTATAAAGTAAATAAAGTTATTATATATTCTTGTATAGTTCACATAAAATGTGTAAAAGCCAGCAGTCACAAAAGGTTTTAAATTTATTCAATTAAAGTAACAAAAAAAAATTCTTTCTAAATATAATGGTTTAAAAGATTTTTAGGAATACATGGAAAAATAGTTTTAAACATTTAAATTAATTATAAAAAAATACATGCCTACATAAAAAAAATTATAAATAAAATTTTTTATTAATTTACACATGCATTTATGTAACAATTATTATAATTAATTTTATGGTTTTATTTAAAGCCTTCACGCAAAGTAAAAACTTTAGAAAAGATCAATGATTAAAAGTTATTCATAATGTAATACTTTTTATTGCATTTAAATTGTTAAAATATCAAAATAGCCGTGGTCAAGTTGAGAAGAAAAAAAAAATTAGCATGGCCAGTTACAGAGTGCGATCGCACGCCATTCCTGTCCAAGCCTGTATATATATATATAGGCCTCAACAGGAATAAATGAGTGCATGAGCAGTGAAACACCCGTCTGATGGTGTGTTTATTATACATTTGTTGTTGTTTTTATTGAGAATTTGTAATCGTAACTTTATTTCGCTATGCCACTTATATATAAAGAAAATTAATATTAATTATAAAAATGAACTCTATAAATGAACTCTAATAATGAACTCAATAAATATGAAATATAAAATTTATGAACTCGTGTTTACTATTTTCAAACTTTTTCTATGTTCCTATTTTTAAAACATTTCTTTTGAGGACACAATTTATTACAGGATAGTGTAAGGGTTTGTCCATAAAGAACGTCGAGCGGAGTTTAAATAATAATTAGAAGCAGAAGATCATTAGCTCTTTTCTGCAGAGATTTTCATTAAACATATATCACTATATTATATTAAAAATCGCCATTTAATGGCCACCATTAAAAAAGAAAAATATATTCAAAAGAATACTCTGAAAATGAGAGCGACAATAATATATTAAAATTAGAAATAAATCAAATATATTATGCTTAATAATAATATACACTGATTATTTTTTTAAATAAAAATATATGATTCTTAATATATCTTTGGAAATTCAAGCTTAATTTGCTGTGTCATTGTAAAACTATGACTAATTTTTTGTTGATTTCATATTTATCTTCAGTATGTTACAGACGGTATTTAATTCTATTTTTGGCGCTGTCCAATCAATGTATGCAGCGCTGCAGTGGAGTAGAAGAAGAAAGAATATAAGATAAGGATTTCATGCATTCCTGAAATACATTTTAGTATCATATTTATATTTATTTATATATATATATATATATATATATATATATATATATATATATATATATATATATATATATATATATATATATATATATATATATATATATAAAATATATATATATATAAAATATATATATATATAAAATATATATATATATAAAATATATATATATATGTATATATAAAATATTTTGACAAACTCCCAATTTAGTCAAAATGCTGTATCAAATTTATTCCTGGTTAACATCCTGTGTGTGTATGTATATATATATATATATATATATATATATATATATATATATATATATATATATACTCGGTGTAGTTAAGGCACTTTTAAAATATTATAAAGTCTGTATAATATTTTGTTGACTACAACATATTTCTGTTAAATGGTCTGGTCTGTGAATTATGAAAAGACAAAAAAAAATTAAAATAAATAATATATATATATATATATAAGTTTTTCCTTCAGTTTTTAACTCATTTTCAAAATAAATTTTCTTAACACAGCTTAGTATAGGGTCATTTCATATGAAATCATCCATACCATGTCAGCCTTATGTCTCAGAATTGCTTTATTTTTACATCATTTGCAGTTTATATTAAATAAAAACTGCAAAAATTCTAGTTAAAATATACATGAGTTGTTGAGGCATCGTCAGTAAAACTAATGCTGATCCAGCAATTTTGTGGTTATCTAAGGAGACAACAAAGCAACTTTGACATGTAATATCTTGATAATTGTTTAGAGGATTTTCCTAAAATTTAAAACCCTAATAGATTTTTGCTTGATGGATTTAAAAACTCTCAGGACTTGATAGTCTCAAGAAATGTCTTGTTTAGTTAATTTTTTTCAAAACTATTGATTTTTAAATTATTGTCACCCAAAATTATTGGCAAAAATATTAATTGTATATCATTACTTTATCTTATGTTCACTGAAAAAAAATTAGATTCTGTGGAGTTTATGTCTCTAATGTTTGATTAAAGTCAAGAATAATCTCTTTTCAGAACTTTTAAAGACTTGAATGTTGTAATGGAGATTTTTTAATTGAAGTGATATTTCTTCAGATAACCACAAAAATGCTGAATCAGCATTAGTTTAACTGACGATACCTCAACAACTCATGTATATTTTTAAATAAAATTTTCTCAGCTATCATTTATTTAATATAGAGTGCAAATGATATAAAAATAAAGCAATTCTGAGACATATGGGAGACTTTTTTTGTGGATGATTTTATATGGAATGACCTTATGTTGATTAAAAAACCCCAAGTAATCAATATTTTTTTAAATTCCCTAAAATGCACTGTGTTGAGTTGAAAAAAATGGATAACCAATAACATTAATGATGCAAGGATCAGTATTGTTTTTTTAGAGAATATTTCAGTTTATAATGGTGACCAAACTGTGATAAGAGAGAAACAAACCTAAAAAATTTTAGCAACCACATCTCAGATTGCCTTAATAAAACAAACATTGACTTAGCTCAAGCATATGCTGGAACAGTTAGGGAAAGATTTGACAAAATTCAATCAAATGTTTTGATATTTCTATTAAACTTTTAGACATTTTATAATCTCATGACAAGACTTTTATTAAAGTTTTTTATTCAAATAAAAAAATATATATTTAAAAAACAACAACAACAAAAAGCCATGGATTTTTAAAAAAAAATTTAATTGTAAAATTTTTTTTAAAAAACTAAATCCAATAGAGAAATAAAACAACAAAAACATTAACTCAAAACATTAAACAGAAAATATTAACTTCATACAACATTAATACTAATTTACCTGAATTTGAAAAATGAACATGTCGTTTTGATTGAGTTCCTTGCTCATCTGCAGAAACCTTTTGAAATGCTGATAAAACTAAATCTTCAGGATTAGTTGATTGAATGGGTGTCTTTTCATCTCTAGTTGATAAATTTTTTTCCTGAGAAGATTGGGGGGAGGATTGGGTAGAATATTGGGTCTTTTGTTTACGCCTATTTTTAAAAACATTTTTTTGCATTTCTCCATTAATAACCAACGACTTAACATTTACCTTCTGGATGTTTTCATGAAATAAAATATTTTCTTGTCCCTTGATATCCTGGAGAACATGATGGGTTTCATTTTGAACCGATGACTTTTCATTTTTTAAAATATTTATTGCAGATGTGTCAATCTTAATATTTTTGAATAATGAATTTATTTCTGTTGTGCTTAAAACTTCATCAAGATTGTGTGTGGTGTCCATTGATTGTTTGGTCAAAGTGTTTTTTATTAATGAACTATTTGACTGTTTATTTTCAATAGTCATATCTAACACATGATTAATTTGAGTTTCTTTATCAGCAACAGAAAGTAAAGAGTCTTTAGTACATTGTTTAGTCAAACTATTAACATTTAGTGAGCTATTTTCAGGAAGATAATTAACTTTGTCTGTGTTAAAGCCATTTTTATATACATCATCATTGTTATAAACATCTTTGTTCATATTTTTATTATTATTTGTAAGACATTTATTTAAATCATAAGTTTCTAAACAACCATCGACAGAGCTTTCAGATGTACTATTTGAACATGGACATTCTAAAATTGATATACCTTGAGTTTTTCTGCGTATTTCTTCAGCATTACTTAAGTTAATAGGCACTTTGTCATTTTTATTCAAAGAATCCTTCCTAGGTAACTTTATTTCTTGTTCAGTGTCTTCTTTTATCATTGATGTTTCATTTTCATTGGTATCTTTCTTGCTTTCTTGGTTAGCAATTTCAATATCCCAGTCTTCTTTTTCAACAACTTTATTGATAGTTTGTTCAACTTGAGAATTTATATGTTTTGATTTTTGTGAATATTTATTTACTTTTGAATTTGAGTAACTTTGGCGTGAATTTGTTTTATTTTTCCTGGTTTTCTTTTCTTGAATTTCCTGCTGAACAGGCACAGTGTTTTCATCTTTAGACCAAGCAACAGAATGAAACTTTTTTACTTGATAAGGCTCAAAACCAGCTTTGGTCTTTCTAATTTTAACTGGTTTATCTTCAGCCATAATTTTCTATTCTAAACAACAAAATCCTTTATAAGACACATTTCAATTTATACTAAAATGAAAAATGCAAAAAAAAAAAAATGTTGCTTTCATCACATATCAGGCCTTGTTTTAAAGCATTACATCGCTGACAATTTAATTAAGTTATTACAAATGAAACTTAGAATATAAAAAATGAATACAAAGTTATTAAATGAAACTTGCCATCTTGAAGGCAATATTGCAAATTTCATTTAATAACTTTGTTTACAAGAATATTTGTTTATAGAAGTTTTTATAAAAATTTAATTAAATTTCTTTTTACTAATAAAAATAAACTAATATCAAAAAGACACTCTTTGTGAAATAATTATTTGATAATTTGTGTGTGTATGTGAGTGTGTGTGTGTGTATGTGTGTACTTTATACACAACACTAACTGTCAAACTGGCAGTAACTGAGGTCAGCATTTTTTTGCCAACCTCAGAATTTCAAAACTAAAGTTTGTTTGCTACTTCATATTAACTAAAAATGGCAAAACAAACATTTTATTTTAACTCTAAATAAAATACTTAAATTAAAAACAGAATAAAGAACTTTTTTGTAATTCTCAATAATCTAATTAAAATAAATTTAAAAAGGCAAAATAAACGTTTTATTTAAACTCTGAGCAAAGCAATTTTTAAAATACAACAGCAAAACAAGCGTTTCATTTAAATTCTAAATAAATAAATTAAAATAAAAATGGAATATACAACATTTTATTTAAATTCTAAATAAAATTGTTTAAAAAAATGAAAACACAAAGGTTTTATTAGCTTTGAAGAAAATTTCAAAAAACCAATGGAAAAGCGAACATTTTATTCAAATATAAATTAATAAAATAAATACTTAAAGTAAAAACGGCAAGAAAAGAACTTTTTAATTATCTCAAATTGAGAACTTTTTATTTATATTGTAAACAAAACAACTAAAATAAAAGCGTAAACACAAAAGTTTCATCAACTCTAAATTACAATAATAATAAAATCTGAAAAATTAATTTAAATTCCTATTAAAATGGTAAAATAAAGCATTCTGATTTAAAAGTTTTTAAACAAACGTTAACATTTGATATTTTGTTTTTCTGATGATTTCATTCTGAATTTTACTGTTTGTCATTTTGTCAAGTTCTGTTGGCAGGTTGGCAGTTTTTTTCCGACCATATTAATACTAATTCCGAGAGCTAAAAAAACTGCCAACCAGCCAACAGAGCTTGACAAAATGACAAACAGTAAAATTCAGAATAAAATCATCAGAAATACAAAATATCAAATGTTAACATTTGTTTAAAAACTTTCAAATCAGAATGCTTTATTTTACCATTTTATTTGGGATTTAAATTAATTTTTCAGATGAAATTCAAAAACGGTTTTTTCTTCAATTAATAAGATTAAATTCAAAAGCGGTTTTTTCTTCAATTGGTTGATCTTCACCGGAAGTAATTTCTAGTTGCATCAAAGTCTGCCCTGATGAAGATAACTGCTGATGATAGATAATTGATTTTATATATATATATACATATATATATATATATATATATATATATATATATATATATATATATATATATATATATATATATATATATATATATATATATATCAGGCTTTCCCAGGAAAGGCGTGCGGTCGCACGCCTTGTTTGTCCACGCATAGAATAAATTTTACAGAAAACGTGACCGCGGCAATATTTCGTGGAAAGCGGAACTTATCCACAGAGAATAAAAAATGATATTAAAAAAAGGAAACAAAGTCTAAACAAAGTATAAAATTGAAATTGGATGTAAAAAAAATATTTTGATAATAAAAAAAAAATTTAAAAAAAAAAAAAATTTTGTAACAACAAAAAAAAAAAATCCTGCATTTTATTCAAAATTTTTATACTGTTATTGTTTTCTTTTTTTAGGGTTGCTATTTTCAGCTACGAAATTTGATACAAGTCAAGAAAAAAAAAAGACAATAAATCATAAAATTTTCACGAAAATAAAAAGACTTGATACGTAATTTATTCACTAACTTTATTAGACAATGTATTAAAAAACTGATTCATTATTTACGCTAGACAAATTTGATTAAGTTTTTTCATTTAATTTAGTTTTTACGAAGGTTTATGCAAAGGCGATGACGTTATTCCCCAATACTTAGACAAGAAAATAAATTGCTGTTATAATTATTAAATATATTATTTGAGATTTTAAAGATAACAAAATTTTAATGTGAAAAAAGTTCTCTCTCGACTTATTCTAAACTGATTATACTGAGTCAATGCTCGCATTTTATTACGTTGAAATTAATCAATTGCATAATTTTGTAATTACGAAAGAAGTTAAAAAAATAATTGCGTTGCTTCTGTTGTCATTGTTACAAAAACAGTTCCTTCGGGACAATATTATATATTAACACTCGTTCACAATGTCAATTAATGATTGCAAAATAAGCAACCCAATCGTTTGACAATAAAATTTTTTTTCATTTGAAAATTTAAAAAAAAACATACTTAACAAATAAATAGCAATCGTTTTCGCGCTTTCTTGCGTATCAAACATTTAAAAATTTAAATATATTTACGAAACATTTAAAAATTAATTAAAATTCTATCGTGAATTTTAAAGTATTACTGACTGATAAAAGTCATAAACAAATTTTACATTAAAAGGTCCTTTTATTTTCATTAAACAATAATCTTTTTCTTTTTGATTTGATTTTTCTTATTGATTTGATTTTTTTTATTGATTTGATTTGATATAATAGCTAAAATAACTACCGCCCTAAAAAACAAAAAAAACAAAATAAATAAAATATAGTTAAATTTTTTTTTTAATAATATACATTAATTTTTCAATTTGAAAGCACAAACAGATTTCTATTATTTACTTTAAGATTGCTTGCATTTTTGCGGTATTTTTGTTTAGCTTTGTTTTGGCGCGAATTCTTGAAATGCATAATAATAAAACGTGGTCAGTTAGTCAAAAAAAATTATTCTATGCATGGACAAACAAGACGTGCGACCGCACGCCTTTCCTGGGAAAGCCTGATATATATACACTTACTAAAGCGTGTCTTGAAAAGCATTTGCTCACGGTTAAGGTAAGCATTTTCTGCTTACCTTAACCCGTACCGTTTTTTTTGAAAAAGAAGAAAAAAAAATGAAGAATGATAAATAAAACGATTGCTGCCCCATCCCAAACCCTCAGTCGATGTAGAAGCACTCCACTGCGAGTCAGGCTATTTGTCAGTCGTTGTATGCACTGAAGCCCCAGCAGCAGGCTATTTCAGTATGACGTCAGATTGCTTACTTTAGTACGCAATACTATATATATATATATATATATATTTATATATATATATATATATATATATATATATATATATATATATATATATATATACATACATACATACATACATACATACATACATACATACATACATATATATATATATATATATATATATATATATATATATATATATATATATATATATATATCTATATATATATATATATATATATATATATATATATATATATATATATATATATATACATATATATATAAATATATATATATATATATATATATATATATATATATATATATATAAATATATATATATATATAAAATCAATTATCTATCATCAGCAGTTATTTTCATCAGGGCAGACTTTGATGCAACTAGAAATTACTTATATATATATATATATATATATATATATATATATATATATATATATATATATATATATATATATATATATATATATATATATATATATATATATATATATATATATATATATATATATATATATATATATATATATATATATATATATATATATATATATATATATATATATATATATATATATATATATATATATATATATATAGATATATATATATATATATATATATATATATATATATATGTATATATATATATATATATATATATATATATATATATATATATATATATATATATATATATACTAATAGTATTGCGTACTAAGGTAAGCAATCTGACGTCATACTAAAATAGCCTGCTGCTGGGGGCTTCAGTACATACATCAACTGACAAATAGCCTGACTCGCAGTGGAGTGCTGCTACATCGACTTAGGGTCTGGGATGGGGAAGCAACCGTTTCATTCATCATTCTTCGTTTTTTCTTCTTCTTTTTCGTAAAAAACGGTATAGCTAAAGGTAATAGGTATAAAGCTTAAGGTAAACGGTATAGCTAAAGGTAAGCAGAAAAAGTGAGCAAATGCTTATCAAAACAAGCTTTAGTAAGTGTATATATATATATATATATATATATATATATATATATATATATATATATATATATATATATATATATATATATATATATATATATATATATATATATATATATATATATATACATATATATATATATATATATATATATATATATATATATATATATATATATATATATATATATATATATATATATATATATATACATGGAGGATCAACTATACTGATGTTGCAGTTGATCCTCCAAGAAAAATAATTCAAGAGTTCTAAGTAATCATCCCTGGATTGTTGACCTTACTTCACAATAGTATACTAACATTTCTTCACGGAGTTTGATAAAAAAATCACTTGAAAAGTTCTTCATTCCCTGTAGAATACAGCTCTTTGTTGATTGCTAGCCATTGTTTTTGAAAATGGTTAAAAAGTCCCACTTGATGTTCTCCACTGGTTTCAAATGCAGTTGCGAAAAAGTTGGAAAGCATGTTGTGAAGTGGAAACCAGTATCAAAAAACTACGTCCACACTTAAAGTAATTTTTTTAGACAACTTGACCACGTTTTTATATAGTAAGCATTTAAAGAATTTAAAGCTTTTGCTTTATTTTTCTGCAAATTGCTATATCGAAGAAAAGCTATATATCAAAGAAAAGAACCAAAGACTATACGAAATAGAAAAAAAGCTACAAAAAAATTATTATTAAAAAAAAATTTATTAATAAAAAAAGAAAACTGTTGTCAAATAAATAATATACCTAAATAGTTACTGTTTTTAGAGGGTTTGTTATTTTCCATTACCAAAACTGGTACAAGTTAAGGAAAAAAGAAGATAAGAATATAACGAAAATAAAAGAATGATAAAAAGAAGATGAGTATAACAAAAATAAAAATATTTTTTGAGATTTTTTTCTGCATTTTTTTTCAGTCAGTATATAAAGGAAATACTTTATAAATTGCGCTAGAAACACAAACAGTTTTTAAATTTGTTTTTCAAATGTTTTTTCTAAACTTTACTGTTTTTATCAATGGACAAGAAAAACTAATTGCTATTTATTTGTCCTACTATTGGAAACTTACCTAACTTAAAAAGAATAAAATACAAAAAAATGTGGTAAAAATAAAATTCATGTTACAATCTATTAAAAATTATCAGTCACTTAAGAAATAAAAAATACTTATTAAAAATGTTTTCAAAAAAAAAAAGAGTATTCTGTTAAAATTTAAACTGTGCTCTTATATGACAATGGTTGCTTATACAAAACCCTCCAATACCATTTGGAGAAAATTATAAAATAACTAAAGGTGCATTTTGATAACTAATTTATCTATATTTTCCCCAAATTAAAAAATAACTAGATGGTAATACGAATTTTATTTTTACCACATTTTTTTGCATTTTATTCTTTTTTAGTTAAGCTAAGTTTCCAATAGTAGGACTGTTATAAACAATTTTCCTAATTAATGAGAAAAGAGATTATCAATTTCATGAAAGCTTCTGATATGACTCCAATTCTTTTTTATTAAATATTATGATTAAGATATAAAAAAGATTATATTTTTATATAAGATATAAAAAAGATTATATTTTTAAAGAATTTAAAGTCATGAAAGCTTAGATTTATAGGTGATTTTTGTTAGATTTACGTCAGATTTACTATAAGATTTAGTCATAATTCATTTAAAGAATAATGGGTTTATAAAGAGGTTATAAAAAGAAACAAAAAGTTATCGTTTTCAATTTTCACTTGAAAGAAGTAGTATAGATATAAACTTTAACTATACATTATACTCAAATGCAATATTTAAAATTTTAAATTTCAAAATTTGTATATTGATAATATCAACAAAAAAAACAATTTTTTACAATTTCTTTTTATATATATAACTTCTCTTTATTAAAAAGAATTAAACGCATTACCCGATTTCCCAACTAACATTTATTGTAGAAAAGCACTTGAATTGAACAACTGCTGGAGGTTGTGTAACAAATCCCCCGGAAAAAATATTCGCAACTTTCGACACAAAATGAGGTATCAACTAACTAATAATAATTTAAAAAATGTAACTTTTATTTTATTTTTTTATTATTCTGATTCACTTCTAACAAGGCCACTTTTAACTTGGAAGTTACAAGAAAAAAAGAAGAGAGTTATGGAGCAAGGAAGCGGTTGACAGAAATCTAAAAAAGTTGAAGGTTGTACGAGTCAGGAAAATATGAAGATAGGACGGTTAAAAGTTTTTGGCGCATGCAGGGACAAATACAGTAAAATAATGAAACTTTAGGACAAATACAGTAATAGAATGGAACCAAAGAATGAAGTTAAGCGAGAATGAGTTTTAGTTGATGGAACTAGAGGTGATAGCTCCTTTAAGCAACGACCGTGATAGTATTTGTAGAAAAGAGAAAAAGATGCAATTTTATGACGACAAGAAAGAGGTTCAAGCTTAGCAGATAGAGCGAGTTCAACTACGTTTACAATACGTTTTTTGACCTTGTCTAGAAGAGAAAAGGCATCACTAAAGACAAGTAAGAGATTTGTAGAAGTAGAGAACGGAGTCAGGAAAGAGAAAATGGCGAGCACAATAAAGAGAAGCAACCTTAGCAGATACAAATTTAGCAATCGATTTTATATATAATTCCATGAAAGTAGTAAACAATAATCTAAAAAGACGTAAAGACGAGAGCTCAGTGAGAGACTAACTCTCACAGTGAGATTTATAACCATCAGTGAGGGTTATAAATGGGTTGCCATTTATTAATATAGGAATGTCGACAGTACTGCGATAGTTGTTTGCAATAAATAACTTTTGTTAGAGTTTAAATTTACGAGCCTTGGGAAAATTTTTGATAATCTCAAAAATTTCCCCAGATACACCACATGAAACAGCTTATGGAGAAGACCAACATGCCAAACTTAGTCAAAAACCCTGAATATATCAAGAGTAATAGCTCTGGCTTCTCCGCCTCCATCTAATGCACGATAAAAATTTTCAGTCACAGCAGTTAGCTAGACAGACGTAGAGCAAGAGGGTTGAAAGCTATATCGATTGTCTGACAGTAAATTATCTGACTAAAGATGGGATGTGAGAAATTTATTTATCAAAGACTTTAAGATCTTGCTAATAACAGAAAGAAAACTGATTGAGCGATAATTGAAGAGGTCAGAATGTTCACCGGAGTTTTTGAAAATTGGAACAACTGATGCCATTTTACAGCAGGCAGGAAAACAAGACTCAGTCTAGCACTTATTAAATAATTTAGAGAGAGCTGAAGAGATTTCTGGAGAACAATTTTGTAAGACTATGACAGGAATGTTTTCTGGATCAAAAGATTCGAGAGTTGAGTTAGAAGAAAAGTTCTTCGCAAATAGTTCTGCCTCATCCAATGGCGTAACTAGGGGGAGCATAACCCCGCAGGGCGGGGGGCCCGGAGCTTAGAGAGCCCCACGGAGATTTACAAATTTTACTCATATGAATAATATGACTGGTAATAATAATATGAGTGTTACTAATTTCTGTTTTATCAAATACATTTTATGAATTTATAATTTTTCACGTATCCCTACGGGCATTTTTTTAAAAAAGTTACATTTTAATTTAGAGCGTTTAGAATTTCTAAACGTTGAAAAAACTTTTAGTTGACGTCTAAAAATTTGTAAACTGTTAAAAACGTTAAAAAAAAAGTTAGATGATTTTGAAGTGGAATTACATCGGGCATGAATTACGATCCCGGGATTTCGGGATTGAAGTAAATAAAATCCCGGGATCCCGGTATTCCGGGATGTGAGTTATTTGCTAAAAAACAGAACTTAATACTGCATATATGAATATACTTTATGATGCTATTAATTCTTTATTTAATTTCATTATGTTTTAATGACTTACATTAATTTTCTACGGCGCCTTAAATTGTTTTAATTGTGTAACAGGCAGCAGGTGTATATAAAGATCTTAAAATAATGCAGAAATATATATACGGTACCTTCCATATTATGTTTTAAGATTACAGACTTTACAGAATAACCTTCATCAAATAATTGGATATGTAAATAACATTTGAACATTTAAAGTGTATTTGACTAAATTAACTAATCAATCAAAATTTCAAAATAAATTTGTAAACATAAATTTTCTTAAATTTGGGTACCGATGTAGCTGCTGTAGCAACAAGCTACTTTGTAAAAAATAACATAATAAGTTGTTTGTTAATATTGAGAGACTAAAGCTGTTTCGTCTAAGGTTTTTTTTTTTTCGAATGCAAAGTAACTCGTTATTCTTCGTTTCGTAGGAGGCTTCTCGTCGGTTCTGGCATCATTCAACTGTTGACTCGAACTAGGTAAATTTTTGTCGGCTGAAGTTACTTTCAAATTATGTTTAGTTGATAAGTGCGTATGAAGGCCTTTTGTAGAACCACCCAATGTTTTCAAAATTACACCATATTTCTTACATTTTGCTGCCAAGTTATCCGCAGACTTCAAATAATGTGACCACACTGAAGTTGGGTCTTTATCTTTTTTGTGTAGAAAAAATGATGTTCCCTTTTCACTGTTTTCATTCATGTTTAGAAGGATATTTTTTAAGGTGCATTAGTAAACAACATATTATTGCGGTAAACAACAAAAGCATTAAAAAGGTTATCAGTTCAAAACGTTCAAAACGATTCATTCCACAGTCAAATTTTGTACGTATTCACACTAGAATTCCTTCAAGCGGAATTAATTGTCAAGGGCATTACAATGTTGCATTAACTAATAATTGTACAAAATAATTATACAAATCGCTAGAAATATCCCAAAGGGAATTGTTATGTAGTAATCATTAAATTTTTTTAGATATAATTTTTTTTTATTACTTGTTCATTTTTATTTTTTCATTCTCTAAAAATATTTTTTGAAATGAACAAAACGACTTAATAAACTCAAGCAATCACTTAAACACAAATTCGCTCAACAATTTTAAAATTTATCTTTTTAACGCGAGAAGTCTTGCCAACAAACTTAGCAATTGTTTTTTATACAATAGTCAAACAAACCTGCCTTAATTTGTGTTTGTGAAACTTTTTTCAATGATAAAATCCCGAACTCCATGGTCTATTCAAAAATTTGTTCCATTTATCGTAAGAATAAAGCATAAACAGGATAAACCTGCAAAGCAGCATTATATAACTCGTTATAATTCAGTATAGTTACCAACTTTGAAAATTTTGTTTTACAAAATAATTTAATTAGTTCAATCCAGCTATAATCCCGAAAATCCCGGGATTTTGTGTTTAGAATCCCGGGATTTTCGGGACCCAAAAACGTCTGGGATCCCGGGATCTATATAATATTTAATAATATAAAGTATATATTATTAAATATTATTATATTTAGAAGGTAAGTGCTTTTCTTTTTATATGCATTCATGCATAGCAGTAAAAATCATATAATTATAATTTTCATAACAATAAGTTGAGTTATCAAAATGTTTAGCTAATATGTAATAAACTAGTTATATTTATAGTATTAGTAATATTTTTTAACTGCTTGTTAAATCTTGCAATTTTATTCTGGCGATTTAAATTTTCATATAAATTAGTTACTGAGATCTTGAATTTTTCAATTAAAAAATGTATATTAACGCGATACAGGTAGAACGATATTTTTGTGTTTAGTACGCACTAGGTTTTGTAACAAAACCTAGTGCGTACAAAACTTTTTTTTTTATAGTACGAGGATAGTATGAGTTAACAAAGAAACACAAATTATGTGAACATATTTGATTTAAAATTAAAAGGGCGGACTCAAAATAGGAACTGAAGAATAAATACGAATTAAATCTAATATTTGTTCAAAAATATTTAGCTATATGTATATATTTATATCTATAGGGTTAATACATAGATATAATTGTTCTAATAAAATATTTTTCTTACAATAGCATGGACTCTAAAAGAACTTATATTAGTGGAGCCAGAAAAGATAACTAAAGAAGGAGGCTAATGATAGATTAAGTAAAAACAATAAAAAGATATCCTTATTTTTTTCATCAGTAGAACAGAAACCTAGTGAAGTAGTTGCAGGTAAAAATGTCGATGTCGTTACTAGTACTTCTCAAGCAACCCAACAAGAACAAATGTTATCTGTTTCAATTGACTTAGAACAAATTGAAATTTCAAAAGATCATAACGAATATCATTATGAAAGTAATGCAAATATTTTCGCAAATCCAAACAATCTTACCACTGCGATGCAAGTTGAAGAAACAGATCCAGGACCGAATATATTTCAGGAATTAAATACGTTAACAACAGATATGAGATATTTTAAAGGAAAATTTCTTAATGATACCACAAAAAGATTTATTATTTCTTCTGAAAGATGTAAACCACAAGAACCATTTAATAAGATCCTTCACAAAATTGTAGACATTTTTCCACAAATTATTATTATTGTGCATATAAATTTGATCAAACACAGAAATTTTGACTTTGTTATTCTGAAATTCTGGACTCAGCAAATTGTGAACTATGTTAAAAGGGATAAGTAAAAAAATAAAAAATCATGCTAATAGCCTAAAACATATTGAAGCATGTCAAGTATACGATCATTGGAAATAAAACAGGACACTTAATGAGGATAATTCAGAGACATTAATTCGTCATAAAGCTTCATTTTGGAAGATGGTATTAGAAAGGTTATTTAACATCACTTTAATGTTAACAAAAAACTCACTTGCATTTAGAGGTCATAGTGAAGTGTTGGGTGATAAAATTTACAATGACAATTTTTTGTCTCATGTTTATTTGCTGTCAAAGTACGACGATACAATGAAACAAGTACTCAATAAGCCTTAAGGCACTTTAAAATATCTTTTAAAGTTCAGCTATCCAAAATGAATTGATTCATTGTTTAAGTCAAAATTTAGAAAAAACATTATTATTAGAAATAAATGTATCTGCTTTTTTTTCTATTATAGTTGACACAACTCAAGACTATGTAGAAAAGAACAGTTATGTTTAATTTTTCGATACGTTCACATAATTCGCAAACAGGATACTCAACCTTGTCAAATAGAGATTAAAGAAATG